CAGTATACTCCAAAATGAAAATGGTTTATACGTCATCGAAGAAACAAGTTGAAGCCTTGGGAAATGTCCAATTTTTATATTATTATACTTATCTGCTACTTTACAATTTGCAATCTCGGTTGTAAGCAGATGAACATCCAATTTCAAATGTCAATGTTCTTACTGTTATAATCTCCCTATTGCTGATCTGGTGAGATTCCTGACAAAAAGTATTATTAAAGAGCGTTATGTCATACTGCTTTCAAAGGTTTTACAATGTGTTTTTTTCAGCCTCTTATTTATTATGTTTTAGCAATTTACGGTGTCTGAAAAAACTATTTTTCAGTCTCTTTTTTTTCTGTGCTTTAAAGGTCCCATGTCATGGCCATTTCTACTGATCATATTTCCATTGTTGAGGTCTACTAGAATATATTTAAATTGTGCAATTTTACAAAATCACATTTGTTTCTCATACAGCATCTCTGTATAGTATGTGTATTCGCCGCTGCTTCGAGCTGCAGCGAGGAGCGGACAGGTTTCCGGGTCGGCGATACAGCTAGAACAAGCGAAACTCATCCTGAGCACACACAAACACTCACAGCCGAAGTAAAAACCATAAGTTGAGTAAGAAAAAGGTTTATAACGCTGTGAGCATGGGTCTGCGGAGAGCATTTCTCCGCGATCCCAACTCGTCTATTACCAACCAGGGAGCTCTATGCAAGTCAATGGGACTCCCTGTTAGTTAGCCAAGGGATCCTGGTGTGTGAGGTGCTCCGTGGATTGGTCCATTTGGGCCAATCCGGTCATTTGTTGTTGATTTGGGTATTCACACATCACAGAACCCAGGAAGCAAACAATGGAAAATGAGAAATCTCCAACTAGGCGTTTTGGGGCAGCATAGACAGGTATTTTCTGTGTTAGAGTTTTACTCGCTACAAGGTGTATGAGGGTTTGTGACTCTGCAGACCGTTTACATGCATAAACACCTTCATAACACATAAGGGGACGGGTAATAACCGGAAAAGCATGATATCGGCCCTTTAAATCAGTGATTTGCATATTTTACCATCACACAATGTTTACCTGAGAACTGTTATATAATGACAGTTTGCAGAGGCGTATGCAATTTCAAACATCTTCACTTTTGGTCTAAAAGAGTTGGCTTGTTTGTGTTTGCCCCCTATGAGCAATCATGCACACATTAATTAGTCATTGTCCCATAGTTTGACTAAACTGGCACCATACTGTTTAGTTGTGGCTATTGTCTTCAGTACTATACAACATTTACCAGTTTATGTTTTGGTTTAAAATCATACCCTGTCACTAAGAGCACATTTTAAAGATTTGGTTGCCGTTATTGCTACAGAAGACTACACAAACGGTTTTCTTTACCTCTCTGTTTTTACTTGTATTGACTCCAGACTGAGTGTCATATAAAAGGATCTTTGTGACTTGGCTGCATACTGTCAAGCCTCTAATTAACTGTCTCTTTTGGCACACTGCTTGGTCATTTTGCCAAATGTTTGACCATTTCTCTCATAACTTTTGAAGTTTATTTTCATTTTGGATTGTACAGTACATATAAGTGGAAACTCACAGCACATTCAACAACACACATGGTCATTATCGAAGGTGCTCTTTTTATGTAAATTGAAAAGGGATCAAATATAGACAAATAATTGCATTTTACTAAATGTTTGCAAGATGGCAAAAGTGGACGAACACTAGCAGCTAAATAGACTGAAAATAGACTGTAATAGAATAACCGTTTGCAGAGAGGTATACAATTTCAAACATCTTTACTTCTGGTCTGAATTAATTGGCTTTTTGCCCCGAGCAATCATGCACACAGTAATTACAATAATCATTGTTCCATGGTTCGACTAACCTGGCACCATGTTGTGTGCATTGCCTCTTATAAGAAATATGTTTTATTTACTGTGTTGAACTCTCCATTTGTGTTTTAATATTTATCGATAAGCATTTGCTTCCTAGCATATTGCACTTTTGCATGATCATTTTACTTCTTTGCGGATTCTTTATCTCATAAAAGGATGTCCATTGATTGCAGACAGTTTAATTTGGTTTATATTTAATACATGTGCCTAGGCAGGAATAATATGTTTTGATAATAAAAGGATAATTGATTTTAGGCGAAGAATGCTGGTTATAGTCTTCTGTCGTGTACAAAATGTAATTGAATGTTTTGGTTTAAAGGTTTATATAACAGTACCCTGTCACTGAGAGCACACTTTAAAGGTTCGGTTGACATATTTGCTACAGCAGCAGACTACTGTATGCACACATGGTTTTATTTTAAAAACGTTTACTTTTATTGATTAAAGAGTCATAATGTATAAAAGGATCCCAGTGACTTGGCTGCTTACTGTGATGCCTCTAATTAACTGCCTTTTTAAATATTTGACAATTTTTCTCATAACTTTTTTATGCTTTTCATTACAGTTTTTCTCGATTGCTAACACACTAAAATTCTACATAAAGCACCATTATTTTAACTGACACTCAAAGAGCAAAACATCGGCTCAAATCTCCAAAACTCTAAACACGTTTTCAGCTTTTCACACAATTTGCAAATCAACATGGCACTTTTTGCAAACCACTGCACACGTTTCTCCACGTAAGACACAGGAATCTGACATAAAGTCACGTGTTAGCAGGTTTAAAACACTGATATTCAAAAGGCCTCACACATGGACCAATGATCAAGAAACACGTTCCACCTGACCAAACACCTGATAGCATAATTGTTGGCTCATCAATCAGGATGTTAGCACTATAAAAAGACCACAGGTGAGAACTTTCTTACAGCAACAATGGAAGCCAACATAGAAGCAAGAGCAAGAGGAAGAGGAGAGGAGGAGGAAGAGTACTCTCTAATGAAATGAAATGTTATCAACCATGGTTTGACGATGAGAGAGGCTGGACGGAGGGTTCAGCCTAATCTAAGCCGATTTACTGTCGCCTCTGAAATCCGGACACTTAGACTTGAAAACAGGTTACCAGTTTGTAGCTCTGCATAACTCATGATATATCAGTGCTTATATCTGTTGTGTGAAACGTATTTACTTCATTACTGTGATTGAGTTGTTGGCATGTTGCATACTATAACTGTACAACAATCCTGCACAATGTACTGTGGTAAACTCACTTTTATGCAATACAGACACAGACCAACCACTACATCTTTGTTGTTTATCTGAAGGACTGAGACACAAAGAGGTGGAAGGCTAAGGATTTCCAATGAGGCCCAGGAAGCAGCAGTTACAAACTGGGTTTTGGCAAACAATCACACATAGTAACTATGTGCTGAGATGCATGTTGCACAATGTGATTTTTGATAAAATATGATTTTTTTTTCAACAACTCATTTGTATTTCTTCATTTACTGTATTTCTGTAAACTCCAGCAATCTTTCTCTGCAGAAACCTCTATGTACAGAGCACAGCCCATAACAGATGAAAGTGCTTTAGATGATGCTCAGCAGTGTGTAGCTGGGTGGTCAAACCATCTAGTATTATAAATGAAGTGTGTTATATTTGGTGCTAAATTTGCATTTGGAAAGTGTTTATGTAGTTTTGAGTGCAGTTCTTCACTTAGCAGGAGAAATGAGGTGTTTTGCACTTTGGGTGTGTGGTTTTGTGAATTGTGTTCTGAGAAACTGAGCAATTTAAACAAAAAAGTGTGTTAGCAATCGAGAAAAACTGTAACTTCTCAGGTCTTTGAATGAAAACATGCTGTGTCAGAGACGAAGCAGCAGGTGTTTCCTGTGGGAGCCAGTGAACTGGGCAGATGGATTTGTAGTGGTGTATAACATCTGTGACTGACTTTCCTTCCTCAACACCCAAAGCATCCTGCCACAGATCAAAGAGATCTGTAAAGGGTGAGTGACCACAGTCTGCTGAGAATGAAGCCAAGAGAGGACTTAACTTTGATGCGATAATGAGTCGCATTCCTGAGATGAATGTTTACCAGCATATCCGTACGAGAATCAATGTTGTATGCTTGGAGTGAGAAACTGCATTCCAACATGCTGTACTGGAAAGAGCAAAACAATATGAAAGCGTGCGAGCACAATGGGTTGAGGACATTTTGACTTTGGATTCATAAAACCTCAAAACACCTTCAATTATTGACAAGCTAAGTAACCCTGTATGTGTTGTATCCACCTCTCATTTAATGCTTTCTGAGAAGGGATAAAATATACATAAAGAATTGCATTTTATTTAATGACTGTGGATGAACAGTGGCAGCTGGAGAAGATGAAAACAGTTGAAAATTATCAATAAGCACTAAATATGTGCAATAAAGCTTACATTATATCCACTGTCTGGTCAAAGTCTAGTAAACATTTTCTACATTTTAATTACAAAACACTACTTTTACTGAAATAGAAGGACATCAATTACCTAACACCATGCATCATCGGACATACTGAAAAGTATAGTAGACCACATTTAAATATGGGTTTCTGGGGTGCAATTAAATGTAATGCCAAAATGAAGTTAAGGTTAGATTTAGTAACACCTAACATTTGTTTAGTAACAAAACTAGAGAATATTTTTCACAATATTATAACTCTGGGAGAAGAGCCACTCTCCAAAAAATAAATACTTGTTGCTAATTATACTTCTCTAGGCTGCTTTTAATCAAGGACCTTCATTTGCAATGGAATCTTATCTGTGTTATTCACACTTTTACATTATGCAAATAGTCTGAGCATCTCTTCCACCAATGCTAAATCCTAAATGTACACCCCCAAGTACTCAGTTTTGTCCACTAGATGGAGACTAAGGACCAAGAGAAATCCAGGTGTTCACAGGGAAAAGCGAGTTCCTCATTCGCTTGTATGTAAGTGGACGTTGTACATTTAGTGAAAACACTTTAGTGGTAACTTTTTATCGTAACGTCAGCCTACTTCACTTTGGTCGATGACACACACGAGCCACCCGGGGCGCTGCAAGCCTCTCAATAAGGAGAAAGGAGAAACCCTGTCCATTCATTCATTTTAGTTTTGTCCCTCCTCGCTTTCACTAGACACTCTGCGAAAAAGTTTTAGCGTGAAGACGACCAACCTGCTGAATGGAAATGATCCTCTCTATGAGGTAAGACACTTCAGTGTAATCTTCTAACAGCAGCAGTCACACTGAAGGCTAGCAAACATTTTTAAGGCAGTTTTAATACAACAGTGCATGATATAAAGCAAAAGCCTGTTCAACTCCGTGTTTCGTTGCCATGACAACTTGTAGCTTACCTAAAAATGACTGCCAATCTTCAAACTTTCTTTTCATATTTCATTTTAATAATATGAGAAGCGTTAATGTTTTTTATTGGAACATTACACGACACAACACGAGATGTTTGTCAGAATATCCCAGGCTTTATTACGTGTTTGTATTTACGTTTTAACAGGCGTAGCTATCTCTAACATTATTAGCTTAGTGTTACATGAGGGAGTGAAGGCTCGATTCACGGGTACTATAAACATGTCATAATCATTCAAGAGCACTGCTAGGTTAACTAACTAACCTGATTAGTTAATGTGACCATAGCAAGAGCAGTCGATGTCGATTATGTTATTATAACTTATGTTCAGAGGTTGAAGAAGTACTCAGATCTTGTTCTCGAGTAAGCGTAGAACTACCAAAGTTTAGGAATACTCTGTTACAAGTGAAAGTCCTGCAATCAAAAATGTTTCTCAAGTACAGAAGTATTAGCTTCGAAATATAGTTAAAGTGCCAAAAGTAAACGTACTCAGTCAGCAGTTTGGCTCATTTTCTTATAATATGTATTATACGTTTTGGTTATGACTATAGATGCATTAATGTGTTTATCAAAGCTAGTAAAACCTTGAGCTAATTTGAATTACTTTGTATACTGCAGGGTAGCTTGTGGATTTACTCCAGGTGTAACTAAACTCTTATTTAAGTGTTGGTTATATTTCATATCATTAATCCTAATCTGTTGAGTAACCAAAGGTACTACGTAAATATAGTGGAGTAAAAGTACAATATCATAAAAGTCAGTCAATGCTTTCCAAAAGCACGAGCAGTGAACTCCAGGCCCACGTGACTGAACTCAAAATTGAAAGAAACAGACTAAGAAATGACGTAAGCTCCATGATCAAAACTGCCAAAAAGAATTTCATCAATGTCAAAACTGAGGAAAACAAAAATAAACCCCGTGAACTTTGGAAATTACTCAATAACCAGCTTGGCTGCAGTAAAAAACTCAAAACGAGATTTTCTAACTTAAACATAAAGACAGATAACAGGCTCATCACAGACAAACTGGATGTGGCCAAGTACTTGAACATTTTTTTCACAAACATAGCCACAACTCTTGTAAATAAATTACCCTCCCACTCAGGGCTTTTTGGAGTAGATCACATCATGACCTACTACAAAAACCTAGGGGTACGCAAAGATGATTTCAGTCTAGCAAGGGTAACAACAGCAGAGGTACTCATTAAACTGAGCGCCCTCCAACCTAACAAGGCCACTGGCCACGACAATATCCCCTCCAAATTCCTCAGAGACACAGCAACCGCCATCTCACCAGTCATAGCTCACATAATTAACCTCTCCATAAAACAGGGAAAAGTACCCAAAGACTTCAAAATTGCAAGAGTAACCCCCCTGCACAAAAAGGGCAGCAAATTGGACCCAGGCAACTACCGCCCTGTTTCTATACTTACCTCCATCTCGAAAGTCATGGAAAAAATAGTATATGAACAGGCCGAAAAGTACCTCGCGCAAAAGAAACTAATCTATGAATTTCAATCTGGCTTTAGAACATCCCACTCCACTGACACATGCCTTCTTTATTTGAGCGACCACATCAAACAAGAGGTGGACGAGGGCAAGTACTGCGGCATGGTGATGCTGGACCTACAAAAGGCTTTCGACACTGTCAATCACCCCATTCTGATTGACAAGCTAAAAGCAATTGGTTTTGATAAACTATCGGTGAGCTGGATGCAATCCTACCTGGAGGGGAGAGAACAGATGGTGGAGGTAAACGGTACTCTGTCCCCCCCCCTCCCAGTGAGCTGTGGTGTTCCACAAGGAAGCATATTAGGTCCGTTACTGTTCCTAATTTATGTAAATGACATGTCATCAGCATGTGACTGCAACTTGTTCCTGTTCGCGGACGACTCAGCCCTGCTGGTCTCTGACAGGAACAGGTTGCAGGTTGAAAAAACCCTCAGCTCCGAGCTCGGCAGAATCTGCACCTGGCTCGCCAATAATAAATTATCATTACACCTGGGTAAAACAGAGTCCATTCTCTTCGGTTAGAAATATAATCTCAGCAAATCCGACGACTTCTCAGTTGCAGTGGGCGACATTATTGTCACAAGTAAGAAGGAAATTACATACCTAGGATCTATTCTTGAGGCAAACCTCTCCTGTGACAAAATGGCATCCAATGTAATAAAAAAGTCAATCAAAGAACTAGATTCCTATACCGGATCTCCTCTCTGGTAAACAAAAACACCCTGAAAACTCTGGCAGGAGCACTCATTCAAGGGTACTATGACTATGCTTGCACGTCAGGGTACCATAGCACCTCCAAGGCGCTAAAAATAAAACTTCAAACATCGCAAAATAAACTGGTCAGACTACTGCTTGACCTTTCATCTAGAACCCACCTCACCTCTGCCCACTTTGACAACCTAGGACGGCTTAGAGTAGACGACAGAGTATAGCTACTTGCAATGGGCCTGGTCTACAAGATCCACTACACCTCTATGGTACCCATGAACATGTCAAAATTCTTCCCAAAGGTCAAGGAATACCATGATCATAACACCAGAGGGAGCTCCACAAATCATGTGAAACCCAGATTTGGCACAAAAAAGGGGGAATACACGTTTCGCAATTATGCCACATCAAGGTGGAACGCTCTTCCCACAACTGTAAAGGAAAATAAAACTATACTTACCTTCAAAACCTCTCTTAAAGAGCACCTTCGGGGGAGAGCATTGCAAAACTGGCCCCGGTAATGGTACAAATCTCAACCTGTCGTTCAATGGACAGCTTCCCCCCCCCCCCCCATCTATGTATATACTCACATTTTAGACTCTGTTACTAACTGTATATCTGTAGACTTGGTATGTCTTAAATGTCCGGTTAGGATGTATTAGAACGAAATCTAAAATGAAAATTGTAAACAAGCAATCTGTATGTAAAAAAACCACCTGTATGTAAATTGTAAATAAGCCATCTGTATGTCAAATATGTCTTATATGTCTTAAATGACATGATGAATTGGAAATGGGGGACCCTGATGTAAACAAGACGAAAGTCTTTCTCTGGTCTGCATCCCCTTAACAATTGTATGTTTTGAGCTGTACTGTACTGTACCCAATATACAAGCTGTTAATAAACTTTTCAATCAATCAATCAATCAATCTACCTCACAATTGTAGTGCAGAAGAATCACAAAGTAGCATAACATGGAAATACTCAAGTAAAGTACAAGTACCTCAGAATTGTAGGCCTACGTACAGTACTTCAGTAAATCTGCTGTATAAATCACAACCGTTTAGGTTGTCCTGCATATGTTGTTCTAAATGGTTAAATCATATTTTAGTAACTGTTATCAGCATGACGGTTGGACATTGAATGATTTATAACTAAAGGTGTACACATCTGTGTGTATGGTGTGATATGAATGTGCTGAGTTCTCTCCAGGGTTGTCATTGAAATGAATTGGATTTGTTCTTGTTTTTGCTATGGCCTACATTTTTCTAGATGTCTGCCTTCCTAGCTTCCCAAGGCTGAGCCCAGCAAGGGTAGAGATTAGCCTTAACCAGGATTAAACCAATGAGAACATTTGAATGTGTTGGCCCTTATCTCCCAGCAACATGTGTGCTCTGAGCAAATGGCAGAATTTGATCTTTTCCTTCTTTTTGGCAAAGCATGTTTTCTTGCCAATAGACACTTATCAAACATGCCCATTGGAGACAGGAGGAATTATTGGAGCAGCCTTTAAATGATTTGTTTGTAGGGACACTACATGCATTACTTGTTTGCTGAGTGTAGGAATAGCAACAGTTTGGATGTTTTCAAGTGGCTTAGGTCAATGTATTACCTACTGTAGATTGCAGTTGGCAGGTCCCCATTCGGAGAGGAAGACAGTAACTGCAAGGAAGTAAAGGAATGCACTGCAGTGAACATCATTTTAAGTGTATGTTATATTTTGCATATTTCCCTGACTATATGTTGTTGAAGACAGCGCTTTCTGACAGGAAACGGAAGCCGTTATATCCATCTATGCCCTCATCAATGACAAAAACATAAATATAACCTTGCAGAACACAGAGTTGGTGATTATTTTATTGTATACATCCTTTATTTAGCTAGAAAGATCTTAATGAGATACAAGAGTTATTCTCCCTTCTTTACTTCCATACTGCGCCTGCTGCAATCTACTGTAGGTAATATTCTGACTATGGATAAGAACCTTATACATTCACCCTTCAAACCATCCCATGATCCCTTTAAAGTCCCTCCTTGTGTCCTTCCTGTAGTCCATCAGTGTTCTGGTATGTTTTCACAGCTCTTTAGTGAGTCTATTGTATGCTTTAATGACTTAATTTTGATGTGTTCTCTTGGTATATTACATTTAGACCACAAGCTTTGATAATCTCTCTGCATAACATTAGGAGTCACCTCATAACTTAGTGGGCTCTATATTTGCATTCTAAACATGCAATTTCTTGCCTCATCAGGTAATGTAATTCCACGCTTCATTAGGACTGTGAAGTTTATCATTTGTCATCAAAGCCAAGCTGTCAATAAATAATTAAGTTTCACATGAGGAAAATGTAATATTTGGGCTCAAGCAAAACGGATGGCAGTGTACATTTTAATTGCAGTAAGTAAGATTCTGTTTTTGTGAGATTTTCAGGCTTTATTTTAGCGGCTGCTTGTTACAGCTTGAGGCACCATCATTAAAGACTCTCCTAAACCTAATTTATTCTGCTATTTATTCAAAAAAAAGAAAGGAAAGGCCATGTAGAATGAACTAAAGTGTGCAATATGTTGACGTTATAGTTGAGATTGAAAAATCGTTACCATTTGCACACTGTAGTCTTAGCAACATATGCCAGTTCTATCTAGGATAATAGATCTATATGATATATCTAATACTGACAAAGGCCTCTTAGAATTGGCATTAATGCTGGAAATAGTGATTATTTCTATCATCAATAAATCAGATTTGTACGATTCCTTAATTAACAGTTAAGCCTAAAAGGTCAGAAAAAGGGATTAATGGATGTTTTTACAAAATTGTCAGAATTTTGTTGGTCCCGTTCAAAAGTTTTATCGTGTGATATGTATGATTGATTGATTGAAAAGTTTATTAACAGCTTGTATATTGGGTACAGTACAGTACAGCTCAAAACATACAATTGTTAAGGGGATGCAGACCAGAGAAAGACTTTCGTCTTGTTTACATCAGGGTCCCCCATTTCCAATTCATCATGTCATTTAAGACATATAAGACATATTTGACATACAGATGGCTTATTTACAATTTACATACAGGTGGTTTTTTTACATACAGATTGCTTGTTTACAATTTTCATTTTAGATTTCGTTCTAATAAAAGATGATAAAATGTAAAGAACACTGCAGTCTTATAGGGACTAGCAGTCTAACATGAAGTGTGGGATAAATGAGTAAACATATATTACCTGAAAGACAAGCAGTTTGAAAGGTTACACAAGATCAGTCATCCTTTGTGTGTCCATGCTCTCTTTGTTCCAAAGTGACATTGATGTGTGCTAAGTTCCTAGACAGTCTCCCACTCACTCCCGGTCATTAGGCAGTAGGCACACCTATATTTGTTCACTCAGTAGTGTAAATAAACAAATTGCTGTCTGACAGAATGATGGAGAGATAAGGCAAGTATGGGCTTGACTTGTGATGAACCGTCGGCTCTAATTACTTCCTGCTGAAACTGGAGATGAGACTCAATGTAAAGGTGGACCGCAGCCTGTGTTTCTTTAGAGTCAGGGTGTATACTGATGTTTGCTCATCTTTCAGCGTGTGACTGTGAACTAAGAATGTTATGGTTTGACATTGTTGATTTGTGCTGTGTTCTATTATGTACTCATTGCCTAATATTTTTTCTTGGGTCAATCTGCCATGTGAGTAGAGATGGAAAAATGTGATTCAAGCACAGCATTTGTTGTGTTTGAGCCAATCAAGTCAGCTGAAAGGAGATTAAGAAGACTTGATTTAAGGAGGTTCTGGAATTTAACTTTATCACTTTGGATGCAGATACCTGGACTGACTATTAAGGCCTAATGGGGGACTTGTAACAGGTGGCACCGAGCCTTGCCCACTTGAAGTTTTATAGCAATGCATTAATTCTTTGGTGCTTTTAAATACCCATTCTGATCATTTATTAGTTGATTTCCATCCTCTAGCACTGTAAGTTCTTAGTGTAGGTTTCTGATTGGTTTCAACCTTCAGTGTAAAGATTTTAAGTTATTAAGTTAAAAAACAGACTCAAGTGTTTAATGGATATAACCTGTAGTTTGAGTTGTAGAGGTACAGTAGAAACACAGGTCTAGAAATTGCAGAAAGATAACCCAAGGCTTAAGCAATTCAAAACCTTTGTCTGTTAGTGACCCTTTTAAAGGTCAGACTTCTCACCCTGACCTGACCCTGATATCCAATTTCCTTTGCATCTCGGAACCAGTGGCTAAATAGCAGACACCTTTGTCTTGGAGACACCTGACGTGCACAGGACCCTCCTCTTTCAGTCACTTCCAGTCCCCAGTGATACACTCATCACATGCCTCTGTCTTCCACAAATGAGCTGTGATTGAGGTGATTGGAGTTTCCAGAGGCTGTCACATTCGTTTTGATTGGGAAATAGACAGAAGATAATGGGAGAGACAGGCCTGTTATGAGAGCCCTGTCAGGGCTAAAATAATGCATCAGAGTGAAGAGGTTAAAGACACCGCTTCCTTGTTAATAATTAATTGCTGTGCATGTGGTGGATCCACTTCATCGCTCCCAGTCATCACTTGATAATTGCTTTACATTTAATTTGGCTTTAGAGACTGTTTTTCAAACTGCGTAAATTGTGTTTAAAGTTAATATGGACTCAGACTGAGACAGAAGTTTAGACATAAACCGGTGATTTAAAAAAATGACAAGTTAGAGTACAGGAAATAAAGAAGATTCAATGACCCTGCACTCTAGTTCTTAAAGTGTATACCTCTGGAATTAACTTTAGGAGCTAATTAAAAAAAAATATTCTCTTCAATGTGCTCTAATTAAAACTAGGCTCTGTTGTTAATGTCTTAATGCTATTTCAAAACCAGCAGCGATGATTGCTTGTACTGGAGAGCATACAAGAGTTTTTTTCATGTAATGGCTACAATTATATTTTGGGGTATGGACAGAAACATGTGATTTTGGTATACTGTTAGTTTCTGGAAAAATGTTATTCTCCCAGTTGGTGCTGAAAAAATTGGGCCTAGTAAGAAAATGTCTGGGTTTTGTCTCATGTTCATTGCAATTGTAATATTTTGGGATTCGGCTCAGTCTTTGAAAAGTTAGAGTGGTGATACTTTAAAGCCAGCTAGTGATTAACCAAAAGCTCTTATGATTAGGAATGACGGTAAATTGGGTTGTAAAAAAACAAGAAGAATGTGTTGGTCTCCAATAAAAACTCGAGTTGTCCAAGAGTAGCAGTTATAATTTGAAACTTGACTTTTCTTTATTGACAGCCTATCATCGTATGGCTCGACGAGACATTTCAGATTGATAATGACTGCCCTCTCCTTTATCTCCAGATGACACGAGCCTATGTTGGTGGATAAGGCATGAACATGGTGTCCCCCTGGACCAGCAGGGACACACTGGAGAGGAATGTGCCTTTAATACGCCTGGAGGACGACGCTGACCTCAGGGTATGGATACTGCAGTCCAGTGTTGGGCCACCACTGAAGATCTCACGCACACTCACTGGTGAACTCTAGAGTAAACTTATCTGCACCAGAAGAGGATCAAACTTCAGTTGCTGCTGAACAAACCCCTTCATTGGGGAATTTGACTATTCTCTTTACCAAATCCAAAGCAGCCAGTGCTCAGCCTTGCATGCACACAGATAATGATCAACTTAATTAGACCTGAGATTGAACGAACTGCAGCAGCAACTTAATCATTTGTAACTTGATTAGAAATACTATATTCTGCACCTCCAGAGAACTGAAAATGTTCCCTTCTTTCAGAGAGCTTGAATTTAGGATATACTTCGGAATCCAGGTCTTGAGTTAGACATCATGTTTTTGTAATCCAAAACAGTGAAACAGAAAGCAGGAGTTTACTAACTATTTACACAATATTTTCTTATCTTCATAGGAAATTTATGAATTTGGAAAGAAATTGGGTCAAGGTAGCTTCGGAGTTGTCTATGAAGCCACACACATTGAGACACAGACAAAATGGGCTATTAAAGAGGTTTGCAGACCAGTGGTAAGTGCCTGTTTTTTTGTTGTTGGTGAAAGTTAAATGTTAAGATAAGCAAATGGCTCAGCTGTAATTCCACTTTCTATGACTTCAGGCAGGAAGCTCAACAGCCAAGATGCTGTGGCACGAAATAAACATTCTTAAACAAGTCAATCATCTGCACATAATACATCTACAAGAAGTCTACCACACAGCTAAAGTGAGCATTGCCAACCTTTAAGTAACACACTTTAAGCCAGATTATCTTCCATTACTGTCTAAATAAATATAAATGATATGCTTTTTACTGGTCATTTACTGGCATTGCCTATGCTTGTTTCTAGATGACTTATTTTGTGACTGAGCTGTGCGTTGGAGGTGACCTGAAGCAGCTGTTGCAGCGGAAAAAGTTCCTTACAGAGGACGAGACGAGGCATATCATCTGTAGCTTAGCAGACGCCGTCGTCTACCTTCACAGAAGAGGTAATGTCATTCTACACATTGACATTTTGATAGTGTTGCAAATCATTTTAACGCTAGCGGACAATCTCCTTTTTGATGAACTCGTTTTATTAGTCCTCGCCATGCTGCTCACTAAACCCTGAAAACACTGATGAATCACTAGCCTGAAACTTATAACTATAGAAGTTAAACAATGCAATTCATCTTGTTGTTCTTCTTATACCCAAGTGTGGAACAAGCAGTATTGCATTTATATTAGCCTTGGCTGTTTTATATTTTAAAAATAAGAAAACAGCTTGGTTCATGCAGCAGTTCAGTCCATATCGTCACTGGTCCAGTTCCTTGTACTTGAGTAAAAGTAGAAGTACTCAGATCTTGTACTCAGATCTTGTACTTGAGTACATTACATTACATTGCATTTAGCTGACGCTTTTATCCAAAGCGACTTACAATAAGTACATTCGACCAGGAAGACACAACCTTGAAGAAAACAGAATCATATAAGTACATCAGGTTGCATAGAGCCAAACATTTCAAGTGCTACTCAACTGGCTTTAGGTAAGCCAGTCCTTTATTAGTATAAAAGTGCTTCGTTAATAGTTCTAACGCTCAAAGTGGAATCGAAAGAGATGAGTTTTCAGTTTGCGCCGGAAGATGTGCAAGCTATCTGCCGTCCTGATGTCAATGGGGAGCTCATTCCACCATCTTGGAGCCAGGACAGCAAACCCACGTGTTTTCGCCGATGGGAACTTGGGTCCCCCTCGCAGCGAGGGCGCAACGAGTCGTTTGGCTGATGCAGAGCGTAGTGCACGCGCTGGGGTGTACGGTTTAACCATGTCCTGGATGTAGGAAGGGCCAGATCCATTCGCAGCATGGTAAGCAAGTACCAGTGTCTTGAAGTGGATTCTAGCAGTTACCGGAAGCCAGTGAAGGGAGCGGAGGAGCGGAGTGGTGTGGGAGAATTTAGGAAGGTTGAAGACCAGACGAGCCGCTGCATTCTGGATGAGCTGCAGAGGTCGGATGGCACATGCAGGTAGACCAGCCAGGAGGGAGTTGCAGTAGTCTAGGCGTGAGATGACGAGAGCCTGGACCAGAACCTGAGTCGCTTTCTGAGTCAGCTGGGGACGTATCTTCCTGATGTTGTAAAGCGTGTATCTGCAGCAACGGGTTGTAGCAGCGATGTTTGCAGTGAAGGACAGGTTGTTATCTAGGGTCACACCCAGATTCCTTGCAGTCTGAGTCGGGGAAACAACTGAGGTGCCGATGTTGATTGTTAGGTCAAGAGTGGGACAATCTTTTCCCGGGAGGAAGAGCAGCTCAGTCTTGTCAAGGTTGAGCTTGAGGTGGTGAGCAGACATCCACTGAGAGATGTCAGCTAGACAAGCAGAGATACGTGCAACGACCTGGGTCTCTGAGTGGGGAAAGGACAGAATTAATTGGGTGTCGTCAGCGTAGCAGTGGTAAGAAAAACCATGCGGGCTAATGACTGATCCGAGCGAGTTTGTGTACAGGGAGAAGAGGAGGGGACCAAGAACAGAGCCCTGAGGGACCTCCGTAGTTAATTGACAAGGGTCGGACTCAGACCCTCTCCAAGTCACCCTGTAGGTACGGTCTTTCAGGTATGAGGTGAGGAGGGAAAGTGCAGAGCCTGAAACTCCAAGTTTTTGGAGAGTGCGAAGGAGGATCTGATGATTCACCGTGTCGAATGCAGCAGACAGGTCCAAAAGGATGATGACAGAGGAGAGGGATGCAGTTTTGGCAGTGTGCAGTTCCTCCGTGACAGCAATGAGAGCAGTTTCTGTGGAGTGACCTGCCTTGAAACCAGACTGGTGCGGATCTAGAAGGTTGTTCTGATTGAGATAACAGGAGAGTTGTTTAAAGACAGCGCGTTCAAGTGATTTAGACAGGAACGGGAGGAGAGAGACAGGCCTGTAGTTTATAACATCAGACGGGTTGAGAGTGGGTTTCTTTAGGAGTAAAAGTAGAAGTACTCAGATCTTGTACTTGAGTAAAAGTAGAAGTACTCAGATCTTGTACTTGAGTAAAAGCAGAAGTACAAGTACCAGAGTGTAGGAATACTCTGTTACAGTAAAAGTCCTGCATTCAAAATGTTCCTCAAGTAAAAGTAGAAAAGTATTATAAAAATACTAAGCCTTGCACAGAGGCATGAAAATACATTTTCATAAATGCTCAACAGTGCTGCCAAAATTATAAACTGACTGCTACACAATTAAAATAAATGCTTTTATATATTTCTATTAGATGTAACTCTTTGGCATTTCTGTTATTATTGACACTGCTGCTTTAGCTGTTCTGACTGCTAAAATCTATAGGTTACTTACGTAACCCCAGTTCTCAGAATAACATGTAGTGAGATGTCTCACTATGGGATGCGCCTCATCACGGAGCAAACAGAAGCATCAATCTCATTACGCCAATCCTGATTGGCTGGTGATCTTGACGTCAGCGTCAGGGAATCACCCCCTATAAGTAGCTTGCGCCACGACGCATGCGTCATTCAAAATAAGCACCTCTTCTCGCTTCACCATAGCAAGGAGGGCCGTCTGGTGAGACATCTCACTACATGTTACTCTGAGAACTGGGGTTACGTAAGTAACCTATAGTTCTCATTCATAACACTCCGTTCGATGTCTCACTATGGGATATTGTAGCTCCCGTATTGCCAGACGAGCTTATCTCGAAATTCACCAAACCAACCAGAACTTAACAGGTAGAGCTCTGACTCAACAAGGTGCCCAGCACTGCTCGGGCCACACTAGGAGCAGAGACGTCTAGCCTGTAAAAGCGGACAAAAGTGAGCGGCGAGGACCAGCTCGCTGCTGCACAAATGTCTTGGATGGAAACACCCTTGAACAAAGCCCAGGATGTAGCCAGACCACGAGTCGAATGAGCATGCAGACCCGAAGGTGCCTGCAAACCCTGACTCGTATAGGCCAAAGCAATTGCGTCCACAATCCAGTGGGAGAGCCGTTGCTTAGTAACGGGCTTGCCCTTCTGAGGGTTAGCCCAGGACACAAAGAGTTGGTCATTATGACGAAACTCTTTTGATCTGTCCATATAGGTGCGTAAAGCACGGACTGGACACAGCAAATCCGGCTGCTGTTCCCCGGAGGAACACAGCGGCGGAGGAAATGCCTCAATGTCAATTGGGGGTACATGAACCAACCACCTTAGGTATAAAGGCAGGGTTGGGCTTCAACAACACTCTCGTTTGCCCTGGGGCGAACTGAGTGCATGAAGGATGTACAGATAGCGCATGAATGTCACTGACTCGCTTGGCGGATGCCAGGGCCAGTAACAGCACTGTCTTGAGTGACAAGTGCTTCATGTCAGCTTCTTCAAGGGGTTCAAATGGGGTTAGAGTGAGCCCATCTAAAACCACTGCCAAGTCCCATAAGGGCACCAGTGACCTGGAAACAGGGAGGAGCCTGTGAGCCCCTTTCATAAAACGGCAGACCAAAGGATGTTGGCTTGCCGTCTTTCCCTCAAAGCCCACATGGCATGCAGCAATAGCAGCCAGGTACACTTTGATCGTAGAGAAAGCTCTGTGTTTATCAATTAAGTCCTGTAGAAATGATAAAATCACCCCGACAGGACATTGAAAAGAGATGTGTCCCTTTTGAAGGCACCACTCCTCAAACACCCTCCACTTACAGTCATAGAGAGACCTGGTGGAGGAAGCTCTCGCACTCTGAATAGTGTTTATCACCTTCTGAGGGAGTCCCACTGTATTCAGATCATACCACTCACGGGCCAGGCCCATAGTGCCAAGCGCTCTGGGTGTGGGTGAAAGATCGCCCCCCCCCGCCTGAGACAGTATGTCCCTGCGTAGTGGGAGCTGCCATGGCTGCCCGCACAGCAGCTGATATATCTCCGCCAGTACATTGCGGGCCAGTGCGGAGCTATCAGGATAAGTGTGTGGCGTTGTTCCCTCACTCTGGCCAGAGTTGGGGGTATCAGAGCCAGGGGTGGGAACGCGTACAGAAGGCCCGGAGGCCAAGCGAGCGCGTCCACGCCTAGCGGTGCGTTTAAATCGCGCATTGAAAAGAATAGCTGACATTGAGCATTTTCTTTTGATGCGAACAGATCTACCGCGGCTCTGCCGTAACGCACCCACAGCTGACTCACAATCCTTGGATGTAGAGTCCAGTCTGCATATAGTGGTGCACCTCTGGACAGTAGATCCGCCCCGAGGTTCATCACTCCTGGTACGTGCGTCGCTCTCAGAGAGAGGAGACGTCTGCCGCTCCATAAGATCAGTTTGCGTGCCAGCATGTGTAACTGGAGAGAACGCAAACCCCCTTGGCGGTTAATATACGAAATTGTGGTCGTGTTGTCTGTCCTCACGAGGACATGATGTCCTCTGAGAAAAGGCAGAAAGCGTTTTAGGGTGAGGAACACCGCTAAAAGCTCCAGGTAATTTATGTGCGCCCGCTGGAGGTCTCTGCTCCAGAGACCCCTCACCGGACGACCTTCGTAAATACCTCCCCAGCCTGTCAGACATGCGTCCGTGGTGACCACCTTCCGTGAAAGGATAGCACCCATAGGCACGCCCCGTACTAGAAAAGTCGGGTGCAGCCAGTGGCGCAGTGCCCTTACGTATTTCACAGTAACCATTACTCTCCGCGCGGGGTTTAGTTTTAGAGCGGCTACCCAGCGCTGAAACTCCCTCATGCGTCCCAGTCGTACGACCAGGATGGCTGACGCCATGAGCCCCAGTAACCACAGGCATGATCTGAAGAGAACATATTTGCGCAGCTGGAAATGAGCGAGACAAGCTCTGAAAGCTTTCACTCTTTCCGCTGTAAAGGGCACCGAGTTCAGGTGTAAACCCAGGAAGAGTACAGTCTGTGCTGGGCATAACATGCTCTTCTCTGTGTTTATTATGAAACCCAGGTTGAGCAGACCTTTACGAGGACATTTGTCTGCGTAATAGCCTCCTGCTCCGACTGTGCGAGAAGCAGCCAGTCGTCTTAACGGGGCTATCGCGGCTTCCGTACATCGTACAAACACTCTTGGACTGAGAGACAGACCGAAGGGAAGTACTCTGTATTCGTAACAGATCCCCTGAAATGCGAACCTCAGATATTTCCTGTGTGGGTAATATACTGGGATGTGGAAATACGCATCTTTCAGGTCGACTGATGTAAACCAGTCGTTTTGTCGCACGATCCGCAGCAGAGATGTGTGAGTGAGCATTCTGAATTTGTATCTTTTTAGATATTTGTTCAGAACCCTCAAATCTAGTATTGGCCGAATCCCGTTCCCTCCCCGTTTGGGAACGAGGAAATACTTGGAATAAAAGCCGCTCTGACTCTGCTCGGCGGGTACTATAGATATAGCCCTCTTTTCTAGAAGTGAGAGGATCTCTCTCTCTAGAATATGGGCTGACTCTCCTCGGGCTTGTGAATACAGAATGCCCGAGAAGCGAGGGGGGGGTGACAGCGAATTGGAGTCTGTAGCCCCGTGTTACTGTCTTGAAAACCCAAGCAGCTGTTGTGAGCATCTTCCACTGTATGCTCCTTAGAGCCAGCGGAGATGTCACGTCTCTTCCCCTCTGAGTCTCTATTTGTTGTGTTATGGGGCCCTCTAGTGTCTGAACACGGTGGTACCCCATTTCGACAATCCCCACCGACACTGCGCATGCGCGTGACGGTGGTGCCTTCACAACCCCAGCCGGCACTGCGCATGCGCGTGACGGTGGTGCCTTCACAGACCCTTCTATTATCCGCCTTTTGAGAGAGGCCGTAGCTGCTCTCAGAAGGGGAACAGTTGACGGACTGTTTATTGTTTTTATTGTTTTTCTTTTCATTATTGTGACATGTGTTTTTGCGGACTTGAGGATGGCGTTGAGGCATCTCTCGAGGCAGCGGGAACACATCTAGAGCTGGGGAACCGTGGACTTCCAGCTCTGTCATAGAGGGGAGAAGGGGGGGCTGTCAGGCCGCCCGCTTCTTCTTCCTCGACTGCTGGCCGAAATTCTGGAACCGGAGATTTTCTAGGCCAACTCTCCCTCGTCTCCTGCCTGGGCTGGGGACTCGGGGCGGGCTGCGACCTCTGCTGTTTTGGTACTTTGAACCGAGTAGGGTTCGAGGCAGCTTGGGCAAAGGACTGCCGCTGTGAAGGCAGCGGCTGGACCCTTCGAAGGAGACAGAGGTGGAGGGCCTCGTCCTCCTTCTTTTTTCGACTCGCATCTCCTCTGCATGGAGGCAAGAGCGGAGCCGAAAATCCCCTCGGGAACAATGGGCATGTCAAGCACATCCTCCTTTTCCCGGTCTGGGAGGTTGGTGAGGTTGAGCCATCTAGCTCTTTCCTGCACCACCATGATCCCCATTGCCTTGCCCGTGGCCTGGACGGCGCAGCGTTGAACACAGAGACAAATGTCTGTGATCGCGGCCATCTCGTCCAGAACGGCCGGTCCAGGATTGCTTGACAGATCCTCGCAGAGCTCCGCTTGGTATGCGGTTAGCAGCGAGGAAACGTTCAAAGCCCTGGCGGACAACGCTGCGGCTCTGTAGGACCGTTCAGTCATGGTCGACTGGAATCGGTCCGCCTTCGCTGGCAGTGTGGGGTTCCTGCTTGGTGACGGGACCAGCCTCGGTAGGAGGTGGGCTGCCACCAGCGGTTCCATAGGCGGTATGTGGAGCAGGCCGAGCCTCTCCATACCGTCACAGTCTAGGGAGGAGGCACCCTGGATTGGGGCCTTGTTGCTAAAGGGCCGGTCTCTCCACGAGACCGACACCTCATCCAACATCTCCGGGAAGACCGGAAGGAGTTGCCTCTTTGTCCTCGTTGCTTGGGGAAAATGTTTCCCCTCGTAACGGGACCTGGAGGTCTCCTTGGCCATTTCGGGCCACGGGATGTCTAGTCTGGACGCGGCACGCTGACACACGGCCTGCAGGTCCATGCTCAGACAGGGCGAAGCTGGTGTGATATCGCCCGGGAGAGCAGCCATCGCTTCCGGCTTTGCAGCCTGAGCTGATGACACGAAGATATCGTCTTCTTGCTCATCCGAATCAGACAGGAGGAACTCAGAGGCACCTACTTCGTCCTCCATATAATCCAATTCCAGGACATCCTCCGCGGGCGAAACCATGGTGAGGTCCAGCCGGGAGCCCCAGCTTGGTAAAGCGTGGGGCTCCGTTCTCGCGTCTCTTGCCGCCACCGGGACACGGCGCGGGACTCCGTTTCCGCAGCTGCCGCTGTTGATGAGCCCCAGACCGACACAGTGCGGGGCTCAATCTCTGCGGCGGACGCCCCCACGTCTCGATTGGCAGCCGGCAAATCAGCGGACATGAGGGGGTCCTGTCCCGACAAGGTAGCTTGGCGTGCTAACCGTCGGCGGAGGCTCTTTACGGTGAAGCGGGCACAATGCCCGCACGAGCCGGGGTTGTCAATAGCCTCCTGGGCGTGTTCCAGCCCGAGGCAGGACGAGCAGACCTGGTGTGAGTCTGTGCCTGATATTTTCAATCCGCAGCCGCAGAGCCGAGTCTCCGAGTCCCTGACTCCTCTGGTGTGAGGGAGAGAGGCGTCCATCTTGTTCGCCGCGTGGCGTGGAGAGGACCCGCTCGTAACAGGTACGTAGCCTCGCTACCGTGGTGTCGGTAGTGAGGGAAAGCAAGCTAGCAACAGGTGTGTTGCTAGCTTGAAAAAATCAAAACCTTACCTTAATTTCCGAGGAAAGAAACGGCGAGGTCGATTGTAATACTAACTGGTGTTTTAGCATTAACAGTCTTCTTGCGAAGCAGAAGAGTAGCCGGCGAGCGCCTGTCGACCGAAAGTTAGCTTTGGGTTCAGTCTATGGACTGTTAAGCTAGCCCGGCTACCATCGAGATGTGCTCTGAAGCGAGAAGAGGTGTTTGAATGACGCATGCGACGTAGCGCAAGCTACTTATAGGGGGTGGAATCCCTGACGCTGACGTCAAGATCACCAGCCAATCAGGATTGGCGTAATGAGATTGATGCTTCTGTTTGCTCCGCGATGAGGCGCATTCCATAGTGAGACATCAAACAGAGTGTTATGAATGAGAACCTCTGTTATTCCTCATTTCAAAGCTGATATCCCGTGGGGTCGGGATCCTTGTCACCTTTTTCATACCTGATGACTTTGCATCCCTGACTACAGTTGCTTTAGCGTGTAGAAGCTAATAAGCCTACTATTTGATTTGTTTTAGATAGGCACTACATGTTTCATATGCAGACCTTATTTTCCTGTTCCATGTTAAAATAAACCATTTTCAGTGGTCATTTTTTTTTGGTCATGGAAAATTAGGTAAAGGTCATTGAGAAGTCATTGAAAATCATTGGTGAAAAAGTGTATGAACCCTGTATAAAATATTATATATGTGTATAAATTGGCATCATCTATGTAGGTCCTGTTTACGCTTATGTGTATTTCAACTGTAACGGTATAACAACAGAGTCAAAACTGAATTTTCCCTAGAAGATAACTTGCCATTATTGCTTTTACTCATTATAGATAAGTGGCGTATTTTGATAAAACATTCATGATAAACAACTTTTAGTCGATTTCTTTATTTTTAATTAATGCGGCATGTTTTTTTTAAAAAAGAAATGTAGTTTTTGCTTTCAATGGCCAGATCTTTGGTTAGAGGAAAATAAGGACACTGCTCCGGGTGAGGCATCATTACATGCGGTTAATGACTAATTTACAATAAGCTAGGGAGAAATACTGATTCATCGGTGTGTTATAACATGGAAAGTCCCTCTGTGCTGGTTTCCCTCACCTCTATAGAAACATGACATTAACGAGACAGCACTGGCTTTGAATTTGGAAAGACAGAACCTCTTTCAAATGACCAATTATAAAGCTTAAATTGTCTTTCTCTGATGATCAATTTTCTCGGCTGCTGTTCGTCAAATTCATTATTAGTCGTTAGGGCTATACTAAAGCTCAACTGTGCTTTGAGCTCTTACGTTAACATATCCTGGTAACAACATGGTGCATTTTGAATGTACGTGTTACTACCAACACTGCACATCCAACTGCTTTTGATTTATTTCAGTGATGATTACTGAATATATATATATATTGCACCAAACATGATGTTATATTTGGTAACATAATAACCCAATATTTTATTAAAGAAACAAATGAAATGCAGAACTTAAATGGGATTTTTAACTGTGTAATTGGAGTTTACAGTATGTCAATGTTTACCAAATGAAGACATTAGTTCAATTGAAATGAGAGTTCATCATTGAAAAAAAAACTATTTTAAATGGATAAAGGAAAAAATAGCATTTTCAGGTGTTTGTTTTGCGCACACCAGTTGGTCCAACTTACATTTCACACACCATCACCACTGTTGCATTTTATAATTGCTTGCTTCAAACAGTGCTGTAAAAAAGAGTGCTCAGGGCAAATTGTATTTTTCCTCCTGCCTCCCTCACTCCCACAAGTTTAGTTAACGAGGCCTTTTGGCTTGCTATACTGTAAGCAGGGTAAACAGATCAAAGTGTGAGTGTGTGCAAAATATATTTTTTTTCTCTGGTGAATGACATTAGCAAATCATGTTGCACCTAACTAAGATCACAGACTTTATTTCCCCCCAGAGCTATGGTTGTGATCTAAGGCTTAACCTGGAATCATTTTGGGTTTAAATGGAGAAAACCTACAACAGTGCAGATACTTCTCAGATGTTTCATCTCTAAGAGTATGGTAGACCCTTTCAAACCCATGATGTCTTTGTGAAGCTTTCCTCCTCTCATCTAACAGACATAGTGCACCGAGACTTGAAACTTGAGAACATTCTTGTGAAGAATTATCTTGATGAGGATGATGACGGCAGGATTAATATCAAGGTAAGATGGTGACACAGACTTTCCAATACACCTTTTTATCCATTCTCTGTCGGGGAGTACAGGCCTCATCTATCTCCTTTATATTTAGTTAGGGATTTAAATACTACCTCATTATGACAGACTCCCTCTGGTGTTATTATACCTTTACAAAGAGAGACTCTGAAACTCTAAACAAATGACCAGCTGAGCACAGCATGTTGTGTGCACTGACAATGAACCAGCAAAAGCAGATTCCTGGTGTGCGAGCAAAATAAAGCTAGACCACAGTATGAATGTTCCTTTCTTTCTGTTTTCTCTCTTTGTCTCACAGGTTATAAGAAAGTGTTGCAAAGCACAAGTTACCTTTATTTCACAAGAGTTCATCTCACCTTCTTGTTTTGCTTTTGTCATAATGTGACTTTTTTCAAACTGTGGACCTGTACAGCTACTGTACGTTGCTAATAATAATGTAGATTGTCACGGATGTTGGAACCTTGTTTTCCCGATAAAGCGCCTTTCACAAAGGATTTAAAGACATAATATCTAACATTGGCGCATTAAAACGTCTATATGTAGGTTATGTGTTTGTTGGAATATATATTTAGTTGTACTACATTTTACCAAATGTTTCCATCAAATTCCAAAACCAAGAGAAACTGTAATTCCAAACAAGGTATGGTCCGTCTCATATGCACTTTGCACGTGTTTTAGCGTTATGGTTGTAAACCAGAATGGGACATTAGTTACATTTAAAATTGTAACCCAGATTTTTACAATAGACAGAGGAGGCCTCTGCTGCTCATTCTGCCCCTGGTGTAATCCTTCTGTACGTCTGGATAGAATGTTATCAGAGAAAACAGCTGAGCAAATATTAGTGGCCACTTGGACTGCACATATTCTTAATGTGACACCTGACTCGGATAACTGGCTCCCGTTATAAGCTCCTAAACCATGAACAAAGAAGTAATCATAACCGGGAGAAGCTGACAATGACCACAATGATGATGAAGACAGCAACCCCCGATCATCTCACACTAATAGACAACGCTAGTAAATTCATGTTTTGGTTAGAGAGCCCAGATAGCAGAAAATAACAGTTTGTTTGTGTGAGTTTTGTCAGCACATTTAAATCATGTTTATCTGTGTTACCTTGTTTTTTTCTACCTAGGTGACAGACTTTGGATTAGCAGTGAAGACAGGAGGCGTAGGGATTGAGAACATAATTAGGGAGGCCTGTGGGACTCTCGTCTATATGGGTACGACACCTTTCACTCCTACATTCTTGCTCTTCTTCTCCTCCTCCACTTTTATTGGTGCGTTGCTAACTTTTAAGGCTCATTACCGCTAACTGCTGTGGATATGCATTACAGCCAAGTAAGTGTGCTGATAAACATGATAAAAACAAATATAGAATGTGTTTATTAAAATGCTGCTCAATAGCACTGATAGTGGTCAAAAACTAGTTTTAACTAGTAGTTTAAAGCCCTGAAATGTCCATGTCTCAGTTAAAGAAAAGCCTTTTATGTTCTTGTGTGAATCTCAGCACCTGAAGTGATGAGCGGCCGAGGTTACAGCCAGTGGTGTGATGTGTGGAGCATAGGAGTTGTTATGTATATGTTGTAAGTAGACACACACATACTATATATAGGCGTACATATACATATATACTGTGAATACATGTGTCAGAGCTGTGTGTCCTCGTAGGCTGTGTGGGGAGCCCCCGTTTGTATGTAAGACGAAGTCCAAACTTCTCAAGGAGATCATGAACAAAGAAGCCACATTTACTCAACCCATCTGGGCCACAGTCAGTGATGCAGGTGATTATTCATAAACTATAAATGTAATCCTGCTAAAAATGGGAAATGATTTCATTTGCAAGCAGCACTGTATTTTGCATGCAGATTTTCAAACTCAACAGTTTTCCTGTGTCTCACCCAACAGCAAAAAATCTTTTGACCTGCCTTCTGAAGGCGGACCCTGCTTACCGCATGTCTGCTAATCAGCTGCTGGAAAACCCCTGGATCACAGTAAGGAAATAACAGTTTCATCTGCGTATGTAAACTCGACAAAGTGAGCCACATGAGGAGCTCTAATGGGTGGCTTTTCCAACAGGGAGACACTAATGTGGCTGCTATGCCGTCAAACGTACTGGAGATGATGCGCAACCACCTGGAACAGAAAGAGAGTGAGATCATTAAGAGGAGTTTATTTAATTCAAGTAACTTCATCCAGATCACGAGTTGATACATGATATAAACAAAATTGTGCAAGGTGTACTGGTATACACTGTAACAGTAACAAATAACGTTCAGGCAGAGCACTTTGTATTACCCAGTATCATTTGAGCTGCCAACGTTACCAAATAGAGTCAAAATAGTCAAATCTATAGATTGACAAGTTGTGGTATGTAAATATGAAGCATTTTCTTATTAGCTAGGTGGGTTGACTTCTGTTTAATATCGTCCCCAAAAGGAGCACAGACTCTGGGGGACTTGTCCCTGTCCTCCTCTGAAGGCACACTGGACTCCCCGCTCCTCCCGGTGGATTCAACAGTTACAGACAGCGGGAGTCACACTGAGACAGACAGCTGCTCGTGCCCCCCCTCCACCTCCACCCAGGTACGGTTTATCTGTTTAGCACGGCTCTGCATTTTGAACTCACATGCCTAAGCGTGTTTTTTATCCAGGACTCTAACTTTGAAAGGCTCCCAGTTAAGATCTTTCAAGTATCTGCTTTTCTGTTTAAGTACCCTTATTCTTAAGTACTCCTGCTTACACATAATTTACGTCATGTGGAAATGATCTTGTTTTTATCACATTTACACAGTAGATAATTCTGCACTTAAAGCAAATAGTGTATTAGAAAAGAAAATAAGATTTTGGCCATTACTCTTTTTATAATGTTTTAGGTACTCTAAGTACCAGATTCACACAAGCTTCACATGGGTTTACATTGCAGAAATATAAATACACCCAGTTTTTAGGATGTGTTCATGCTGCGTCCTTGAAAGTTACTGTTCTGTATGTCATTCATGTCAACATCCATTCACGTGTACATATATTATTTGAAATCCAACTTTTCTTATATAAGTACTTTTGTGCTTTTATATTGAAATGCACAATTCCCTTTTCATATTCAATCACCACTAGATGGTGCCAGATTTAGCTATTACAGCAGATGGCGATGAAGGTGTCGCGATGCAGCTGTTTTAAAATGGATGTGATAGTTAATTATATTATGTAAGAAGAATATGAATCTCATCCCTGCAGTCTCCAGATGGTGTGAAAGCCCCCCCACAGCCGAGCACAAAGCAGCGCAGGCCTCGGGACAAGAAGGACGTCAGCACGGGACAGAAAGCAGCCTCTGAGCTCCGTAAGGCCGACGACCAGAGACCCTCTACCTCCAGTACAAATAGGACTGCCCCCCCCAACTCTAAGACCAACGCACATTCTAAACAAGCTAAACTAAAAAATATCAATTGTGAAAAGAAAACACAATTAAGTGGACAAAGTGAGCATTCAAGTGAAAAACTAAACTAGAGGTGGACACTTTATTTGATGTTATTCTGTTTTATTTGATTCTGTGAATTAGCAGTGATGTGAAACTGCTATGTATGGTGCAACCTTTATAGTAGCAACAAGAGCCTATGCAGTGACAGCAGTGTCAAACAAATGAGCCTCATAAGCAGGTGTTAGAATAGATAAAGTCTAAGACCCCTGCAGCTGAGGGTCCGGCCTCAGCATCGCCTCGTGCCAAAGGAAAGGGCCTTGCTCTGAGATGTTCTTAGATGGGGCCAAACTGCTGGAGAAATGTTTGCTGTTGCACAGCCAACTGTTTAGGAACGTCATGCAGCCCAAATACAGACTTCAACTGTTTTATGGTGGCCAGAAAACACAGAGATTGAATGAGCTTGTCAGGTTTTACCAGTGGCATCTGAATAAAGTATTTATTATAAAGCAACCGTCATCTAAAGAGGAGATAAGAGCAAAGAACAGCTCATGCCCTAATAAAACTGTTATTTAGTAATTAACTTATTACCTAGCAGCATATTTTGTCATTCCATATCATCTCTTAAACTGTGAATATACTGTATGTTTCCCCCCCAAAACTGTCCTAAAAGTGAATGTTAATTTATTACATTGGAAAACATATTATTTTAGTAGAGGTTTTTTTGTACAAATGTACAAATTGATTCCCACAAAACAAGTCAAAGCCGTCTTCAAATCAGTAATATAACAGTGTGCATACACATTGAATAAGACCTTAAATGTGCCAAATATCATAAAACACAAAACAGCAATTTTGCTTAATTTCTTTTCAATATGAAATATTTATTTTTATTGTTTTATAATAACATGCTTAATTACAGAGAATACACACAGACTACAGGATATTATTTTTTGGATATCATTGCACAATGCCAAAGTGAGCATTAGGGATTTACTTTCCTCTGTTCTGACCTCTCAATTCCAAACGCCCTGTATGCAGTGACTGCACCCACTCAGTGTCAAAACAGAAAACCCGTCACACAGGCTGGTTACGCTCTATCTGAATGCAGAGGATTGGGACTGAGGGCAGCTGCGGGTCTAATCTCGTTTGGAGGCCATTGAAAGCAGTAGGAGCTACTTTGAGGGCACTGCCATTCAAGCACAGGTTTTTCCGCTGTAGAGAGAATAATCCCCAGCATAGATACAACATTAAAGTAGCCAAGCATAACACACAGAGGCTGAATTTCAAATCCACCCATTTGCATCTTGAAGTGAATGAGTGCCAACAATGGGGCTCCGTGCCCATGCAAAGGCTCTGTCCTTTAGCATGTCTGTAAATGCAGTGTGCATTTGTCGGAAGTGTTTTCAAAAAGGTATTTCTACTTTGCAGGGAAGAGGTAATTGTTGTAAAAGTATGGACATGGTGTGTTAACCTTTATCAAATGCAGTCCAGGTAGACTGACTCATCTCGGCTGATGTTACTTGACATACAAGATTTTTTCACTGTCTTATGTTAGATTTCTTTTTAACCAAACACACCAGTAGTGTGAAAATGACAACATGTTAATTACCTTTGTTCTAAGCTGCTTGCCAAAAGACATTACTGCAAATGTATTGACACACTATCTGCCTTTGGTTCACTCGGACCGGTACCAACAGCAGATGGAGCTGAATTTATTTCCTGGAGTTAATCTGACAGGAGAGTGCTATCCCTAAAGCATACTACCTAGTTTTGTGCATGAAGATGTGTAATTAGAATTGATTGCTTGAGTCACTGCCTATTAAAACTGTGATGTCCATGCAACGTGTCACTGATTAATATGTTGTATGGTTATGTCCTCATGGTCCATTCAAACTGAATAAATGGCTAAGACATGCTTTTTTGGGTGCTGTCTTATACACAACATTTAATTTTGTTGAAAGAGAATTTGAGAAATAAACAATCTCTGTCCTAGTTAAACTTATTTCCCCCAAGCTGGATGTCTGCTGTAACAACCTCTTGTATGGCTCATTTTTGTCAGAAGAGGAGATGGGATTTGAGCATATGGTCCTCATTGTCTTGTGCCAGATTTTTTGATTAATTATAAGGAAACCTAAAGAAAAAAAACTCCAAATTGATTTGTGCAAGCAGAGTATGACCTAAAGCAAATCATAGTGCTTGTTCATGACTCAGGGTGGAACAAATGTAGAGAGACAGAAACACGTTGCAATAAATATGGAGGAATCAGTGTTTCTTTATATATGATGACAGTAGCTTCAGTTGCTGTACAAAACTGTCAGTGTGTATTGTTGCAATCCCCCAGTTTTACTTTGACTCCTTTGGTCAAACCAACATAGGAAAAAAAAGGTGTTAAGGGAGGGGGGACCGGACGAGACGGGCTGTATGGTGGATAGGTTAGGGGCGTGATTTTGGGACAAAGCATGGAGGCAAAGGAAATTAGAAAATGTGTCGGGATGGAACAAGGGATGCGACCCCCACCAGCCCCCCCCCCCCTCAAATCCCTCCCCCATTTTCCTCCAGCAGTGCTCCTGACAGATGGAAGTGAGGGTGGGTGGGTTGACGGGCTGTAGGGATTACAACTCTGCAGCCCCATTTTGGAGCCTGAAGAGAGTGTCACTCCTGCAAAGGTGCAGAGAGGCACTTGTGGCGAGAGTCGCGGGGTGTGTGAAGTGGGTGCGCACGGGCTAATGTCAAAACAGGCAAGGATGCTTCCCCTCCATTCGCCCCCCCTCTGCTCCATCCACCTTTAACCACTGAGGAGCATGGAGGGGGCTGCTAGGAGAGGGGAGGGGGTGCATCTCATAACCTTAATAGAGCTCTCTTTAATTAATCAGCTCATCTGCAGAGGCCTGATACCTGCAGCTGAACCCCCCCCCCCACTGTACTCCCCTCCATCCTCACCCCAAACACAACATCCTAACTCTGCTGCTGTGACATTGTGGTAATGAGGTAACACAGCTACAATGTCATGGAAATGTTGCGGAGACGTTATCTGTGGGGGCTCATCACACATGCTGATGCTCCTGATCCCCTTCAATGTGTACGTTGTGTGTGGAGGTGCGCGTGTGTCTGTGTTGCTATGTTCTCTGATGCCCCCACCACAAAAAAAAAACAATAGATACATACGGCCAAATGGCATGAGAGAACCATGATGCCTCTATTTCCACAGAAGAAAAGAGGGAGGCAGGGGAGGGGGGTATGCTCAAATAAACATTTGAAACAGATGGCAATTTCAAAGCAAGCCTCATCAATCTTTGTTGACACTACCCCCTTTTTTAAAACTACTCTTATTTGGGATATTTGCAATTATAATACATACTGTAAGCTCATTTGCATATCAAATTAATTACTGAACACACTGGAGTAAATACCTCCTTTATAAGTCCTTGTTAAAAGTGAAAAGTTCTTGACTACGGTTGGATGGCGTGTTAATTTACAGTGATATCTAATCCCAAGTTACTTCACATAAAAGGCATTACTATACATATTTTAATGGGGAGGTGGTTGTTTTCCAAGCAATTTTCTGCTAGAGTACATTTTTAATTTATTCATATTTAATTTATTGGTCTCTGCATACCCGCTCAGTAAAACTAATCAACACCATGTATGGGCCTCTTAAAGCCACATCTCTCCTTGGCAGGCACACAGGCTGCCTCTGCATTAGGATAAGCTCTCCTCTTTCGTGCACAGAGTGGGTGAAATGTTCCGCATTGAGTCGAGCAAGAGGATACCACCTCACTGGAGAGACTGTTCTCACAAACAACCTTTTAATCAGAAGGAAAAAAAAGGTGGCGAATTAACAATTGGCCCTTTCCTGAGTGATCCAAAACATTTTCAATTTCTGTGCATGGTGACCATCAACACTGCTGTCAGAGCATCGCTCGCCTCCCTCAGTTACTTCCTGCCTTCAAACTTTTCTGTCCTTGAATTTGTGTATCTGGAGCTTTTGAAGTCATTTAGGCACAGTACGTTCTTATCACCTGACTTTGCGACACACTCCAAATTTCTATCGACCCATTGACACATCTTGAGGAGGGATCTACTCAACCTTACACATGGAAATGATTTCAATTAATTACCATTCCCCCTTTGACAAGAAAGAGGGGATGTGGGAAACAAAGGAGCCCAGACAACAGGAGCATTTCTCTGGTGTAATGTGCACCATGTGTAATGAGCAGCGGAAAGGTCATTTGACACATTTCTGCCAGAATGAATTCATTTATTTCAAGCACTTAATTTTGTAGTCACCTCATTGTTGCACAGCTTGGCAGTGCACTGAGAGGGTGCATTACCACAAGTGGAGGCTTAGTTTCCTCCCCAACAGCTAGTGCTGACCACACGTCTGTGGGAATGCCTGAAGAGCAGAGAGATAGTGCAATGGAGTGTGGGAGATCCAATCACCCCTTCTATCATAGGAAAATCGCCTCCATCACCTTCAGCGTAATTGGAGCATTCATTACAGTTCAGTAAAAATGCAGGTTGCCATTAGATGGGCAATTTAAAAGTAGGCTTCTGGAGAATGAGAGACTTCAGGGGTCACGATACGGGGTCACAGTCAAGTAAATAATGGGAATTGGTCCCATGAGGCTTGGAAAACCACAAAGCTCGTGGTCACGCACTGAAATACAACTCAGCACAGGAGAGAGGCAGGAATTCAATCATCAGACACAAAATAAAATGCCCTCTGGTGCCCTTTCAACATCACAAACATTGCAAATAGAAAGTCAGATGCAATTTACCGTCTTATAATTACTCTAACCAGATGAGTTTAGAAAGCACTGTGAAGCATGTGTAATATCTGGAAGTTACTTTCAGATAACATCAAGTATTTAGTCATTAAGAGTACGTACAGCTGTAAGACATCAAACTGTATTCTGCACCTACCAATGCTTACATATACAGTATGTTAAATGAATATGGGATTCTAAAGTTGATGATCAAATTCAAGAGTGATCCTTCGACCCTTGACACCAGGGTAATGTTATTGGTAAGTTTGAGTGGGGGTGGTGTTTCAAGACACTAGAGGCCTCATTCCGTCTGAAGTTGCACTACTTAGTATATTCAGTTCTGCTGCTACTTTTGTTTTGTAATGCTTTAACATTTCTCTCCGAGAAACATTTCACTGTAAACAGAAAACACTTGCTTGATCAAAGGAAGCATATTTAATGTGTTTAGGTCTAAAAACAGAGTTGTTACTTATGTTCTGAAGGTTCTTTTACAACACTTTCTTCTAAACAAAGAAAGCACAACAATAGTTCATTGGCTAATGTGTTCTTCCCTAACTGCAAACACGCCTGAAGTCACTCCTGATAACATGATTTTAGATTCTCTTTGAGACATTTAAACACATTCACAACAAATCAGAATATGTATTTCTTTGTGGAGCTCTCGCTAATGACTATGTTTTTGCAGAAGAAAATACTCCTACATTAAATATGAATACACATCATGATGAAACAATTAGGCAATGGTCTTCTGTGTAGCTGGTTTAAGTATCTGAATGCTGGGAAAAAACAACCTGTACCGACATAAACAAAGCTGTGAAGTAGTATTCCCAAATTAGTCTCACTTGTCGGTGGAAGAGAATGTAATTAGAGAGAAATCCCACACAGGCACTCTGTTTTCAAGACGGAACCTTTGCGATGTATGAAATAAGATAATAATCAATGGGATCAATCACAAGTATGCTTACCTATTGGGAGGGATGCCCAGAGATTCATCATAGGACGACACAGAGCCTCTCACACAACATATGGGGTGTGCTTTCCTCGGGCCCTTTTACCACTCAGGAGGCAGATTGGACTTCTCACTCTCAGCTACTCCGCATTATTGTCCATTATCACACCGTGGTCCATGTGTAAGGTGACAGTGGTGCTCTGATGGAGAGGCGACAGGGGGCCCGAGACTGCAATAACATATTATTAGCTTTTTTCACAGCTCCACTGGGCTGGATTTACACTGGATATCCAGAGACCTCCGAGGGCAGCCCACTGTCACAGCGGTGTCCACAAGCAGAGCAATTGCCAGAGATACACAGGTGTGTGTGCACTGAATAGCCATGCACCCACGCAAGGCACACACAGGCACGTGGACACACACAAACAGACGTACACAAACAGTGTGTCAGTAATCAGTGACAGACCTACTCCAATTAGCCTCAGTGTGCTGTCATTCTTGTGAACTATTGTAGTACTGCAATGCTCCTTTTGTTCTGTAAACTGTAAACACATCTCCTGTCTGTGTCAACCAGATAGATAGATTGATAGAGAGAGACATGGATACATAGATAAATAGATAAATGGTTACATGGATACATACACTGAACAAAAATATAAACGCAACACTTTTGTTTTTGCTCCCATTTTTCATGAGATGAACTCAAAGATCTAAAACATTTTTTATATACACAAAATAACCATTTCTCTCAAATATTGTTCACAAATCTGAAAAAATCTGTGATAGTGAGCACTTCTCCTTTGCCGAGATAATCCATCCCACCTCACAGGTGTGGCATATCAAGATGCTGATTAGACAGCATGATTATTGCACAGGTGTGCCTTAGGCTGGCCACAATAAAAGGCCAATCTGAAACGTGCAGTTTTGCTTTATTGGGGGGGTCTGGGGGTCCGAAAACCAGTCAGTATCTGGTGTGAGGGGTAGGGGTAGGGTTACGGTTAGGGGTAGGGTTAGGGTAATGTTGTGAATCGAGTGGCCCATGGTGGTGGTGGGGTTATGGTATGGGCAGGCGTATGTTATGGACGACAAACATAGGCCACTCGATTCACAACATTACCCTAACCCTAACCCTACCCCTCACACCAGATACTGACTGGTTTTCGGACCCCCCCAATAAAGCAAAAATGCACGTTTCAGAGT